ACAGAAATCAACAAAGTACACTGCTCAGGGGAGCAGGGGGCAAGACAGGAGAGATCTGCTGCACCATGTGGGTCACCTCTGTGGCTGGAAATCGAACTTACACTGAAGTGGCCACAGATTGGCTTGGCTTGGCAGTACAGTGCTCCAACCCACTGCACCACCAGGAAGGGCCCCATTTTGCAGTTCTTTCTGGACATGTTAGACTATTTTACCCTCTAGGTCACTCACTCATCTGCTCCTGTGTTTCATCCAGCTTGCTCTTTGATTCCTCCACTGTATATTTAAGTCTTAGCACTGTTTTGTTTTTTTTTTTTTTCAGTTCTGTAATTTCTATTTGGATCTTTCTTACATTTATACTTCATCCATTCTCATGAGTTCAGTTGATACATTTATAACCTTTACTTTAACTACTTTATCAAGTATAGTTCACTTATGTTTGCTTCTTTCAGTCTTTTTCTGGGATTTTTGTTTATGTGTTTCTTTTAGAATGGGTCTTTGTCTCATTTTACCTGCTTCTCTGTGCCTGCTTCTGTGTATTATTCAATTCTACTACCTCATCTGGTCTCATAGAATTCAGGAGCTGTTCCATGGAATCCAAGAGCACAACCCCCCACTGACCAGCTGAGCTAGATGCTCTAGATATGTCCCCTACATGCTCCAGATATGTCCCTTATGGGTACTGTACTACTGTCCAGCTACATTTGTATGACACACTTTGTGGGGCTGTTGACCTGACCAGGTATGACACAACAGGTAGGCACATCTGAAGAGTTGAGCTGTGGTGTGCTGAATGGGTAGTACTATGGGCTAACCGAAATGTCCTGCTTCTTTTGGAAGGTGTGTAGATTTGTTGGCCTGTCCCAGCTATCTTATTCATCATTCATAGGATGTATCATTGACCTATATTGGTTGCAGATACCAAGATATGAGTCAGATTTCCATCACAGAGGTGGGTGTAATTATCAGCCAGTGTCACCCACAGTCTCGTAGGCTAAGAGTGCCGGGAAGACTTTGCCACATAAGGAGGACAGATACATGATTTTTCTGTTTTATTATTTCTTCTTGATTTTAGTTACATCTGAAAGTCTTTAACTATCCCTACAAACCTTTGTTCTGATTTAATCATATATTCACTTATCAACAAGCATATAAATGTAGCATTTCTATAACATCTGTATTTCATTTTTATAACTCTAAGTTTTACTCTAGAGAAAGTTAATCAGTAAAAGAGGAAAATATCTTCCACATACAAATTGTGTGATTAAAAGTCTAAATAGAGAATCAAAACATATGGCAGGATTACTGAATAGGAGGCTGTTCATAAGCAGATCTCTACCTTTGAATTGATCTCTCAGCTTGTTTCACTTCCCCTTTTGTCCTTGGTGCTAAGAAGAGGAGAGAATGTTAGAGAAGCAACCTGTATTTAGACAAGCAGTCATCTCTGCTGCTTTCTGTGTTTCTGCTTGTTTAACATACATAAAGAAAAAGTCAGCAAATAATTAAAAGCTTGAAAATTAATTTACTTCTTAGAGATACAAATAATCTTCATAGGTTGGATGATTTTTATGTCACATTATTATAATAACCAAAAAACCTTTATTTTGTATGAGTTATAATTATTAATTTTTAATCATTTCATATATATTTTTAGTAGAACTCAATCTATTTGGGGTCATAGAATACAGCTTTAGAAAAATACCAAGATATGCTGCCATAGGAAGGGGCCTAATTGATGAACAAAGTCATTTTTAGGTGATCTTAGTAGTCCGTATGGGAGAATTAAGTCCCTTAGGTCATAAATCAAAAGCTCCAGGTAAAGACCTAAGAAACTACACCTTCAGTTTCCCCTCCAGATTTTGTAGAGAACATAAACCTTACCTACTTTTATATGGCAGAAATTAAAAAAAAAAATTCTGTGCAATCAAAAAAGGGCCCTGTCAAGAGAAGATTCTAAGATCTGGTGCCACTTAACTGTGAAAATTATGTTTGTAGGTGGCGTTAAAGTAGATACCGAGAAAATGACCTAAGAGATTATTTTGAACAGGATGGGAAAATTTAAATGATGAAATCACGGTTGATAGAGGTAGAAGTTAGAAGAGAGAGTTTGCTTTTGTAACTTTTTATGACCATGATTCTCCAGATAAGAGTGCCATTCACAAATACTATACTGTGAATGGCTTCAATTGTGAAGTAAAATAAACCCTTTCTAACCATGAGATGGCCAGTGCTAAATTCAGTCAGAGGCAAAAGCTGTTCTGGAAACTTTGCTGGTGTTTGTGGAGATGATTTTGGTGGGAATGACAGCTTTGGTTGTAGAGGAAACTTTGGTGGTTAAGGTGGCTTTGGTGGCAGTCATGGTGGTGGTGGCCCCATGGCAATGGAGATAACTATAATGGATTAGATAATGTAACAATGCAATTTCAGAAGCTACAGTGATTTTGAATCCATGTAAGAAAGAAACTTTGGAAGCAGTTGACTCTTAGGTGCTAGAGGACAGTTCTTTGCCAAACTATGAAACCAAAATTGTTCTTGTGGTTCCAGAAACATCGGTACTATGGCAGTGGCAGAAAGTTTTCATTAACTTCCAGCTTGACAGGAGAGGAAAGCCAGGGAAGTGACATGGAACTCTGGGTTAAAACAGATTTGAGGATTCAACAAGGGTAGTAGAGATAGGACCACCATGCTACATAGAAGACAAGTTTTAGACAACGTTCGAGTCAGAGCAAATAATTTGAGGACCGTATTTTTGCGACTAATTATATAACAAGTTATTTTAGGTTGTATTCTGTGGAAAGTATAAAGCATTCGAACAAAGGATTTCTGTGTAGTCTTCTTTTTTTACCCCAATGTTGTTCATTGCTAAATGTAATAGTTTTATCAATGACAAAATTGGGAAGCCTGGGCCCTCTCTGGTGGTACAAAGAGTTAAAGCACAGCACTATGAATCTGTCTGCAGCCACTGAAACACAAATTCAATCCCAGGCCAGGGAGCTGACCCACATGGCATAGCAGACCTCTCTTGTCTCACCTACTGCTCTCCTCAGCAATGTATTTCTTCAATCTGTTTGTTCTCCTTCCCACTGTCTCTGGTGGAACCTCTTACCCCTCCCCCACCCCACACACCACTGGCATCTACCCCAGTTCTTGTATGCATAAATAAATAATTTTTTTTTTTAAATTGGGAAGCCCAGGGTTTTATATTATGTGCCTTTCCCTCCATCATATCAGTAGGATTTATTGGTTTCAAGATAACTTAATATAGTTTAAGGATACAGTTATTTTTCACATCTAAATAATAAGAGTTTTTACCCTTGTTAAAGTGCTTCAAATTCTTAATTTGGTTTTGCATATATATTTATGTATATATGAGGTTTTTATTCAAATGCGTTTGTTAAATTTACTCATATTGATAATCTGGTCAGGCCCTCCCTGGTGGCGCAAAGAGTTAGGACGCAGCACTGCAAGCTGGCCACAGCCAGTTCAGTGTGATTTCGATTCCCCTGCCAGGGAGGTGACCCACATGGTGCCGCAGACCTTTTCTGACCCACCTGCCACTCCACTCAGCATTCTACTTCATCTGTCTGCCTGTTCTGCTCCCCTCTCTGTCTCTGGTGAAGCCTCTCACTTCCCCTGCACCTCTGGCTTGTACCCCAGTTCTGGATGAATAACTAAATAAGTCTTTACAAAAATAATAGTAACTTGGTCAATTTTTATTTATTTTTATTTTTTTTTTAAAGATTTATTTATTTATTCATACAGAACTGGGGTACAGGCCAGAGGCTCAGGGGCGGTGAGAGGCTTCACCAGAGACAGAGCGGGGAGCAGAACAGGCAGATCGATGAAGTACACTGCTGAGGGGAGCAGCGGGCCGGTCAGGAGAGGTCTGGCCCGCCATGTGGTCTCCTCCGGGGAAGGCAGCAGGAGGGAATCGAACTCATGCGGAAGTGGCTTCAGATTCTCAGTGCTGTGCTTTAACCCGCTGCGCCACCAGGGAGGGCCGGTCAATTTTTATTTTAATCCTTCCTTAAATAGAGGAAAGTTGGCCACTCTTTCTGTTTATAAAAAATCTATTCATAAGTAATTTTTTCACATAAGCCAGTTTTTTCCCCTTACATACACACAAAAATAATAATTCTACCTTTTTTAACCTTTACACTGACACTTTGAAACCTTCATTCAAGTGGCATTCTCTCTAACTTCTCAAATATTTCTTATAATAAGAAAGTCTAAATTTAGTAAAATTCTACTAAAAACCTAAGCAACAAATCAAAGACACTTTGTGCAATAGAATCAGTTTACATCTCTAAGTTGATTCAATTATTGATTAATTTCATTTAATTTAAAATAAAGGAAAACTTACCAAGTATGGTCATCTTTTCTTGGAAGTGGAACATTCAACATCCATTAATCTGGTGTGGCCGTGTATTCCTCAGAGATGGTGGTATAGGATCACAAGGAAATAATAGTATTTTCTTCTTGTTTTCTTTGAGGAATGCTACCTTTAATTTGTATTTATTTGGAAAGAATACTTTCTGAAATTTGTTTTGACTTCTTCTTCTTACTACTATAGTTTTTTTACTTACTGTGTGGGTGTACCTTTAGATTGATTGCATGGATTCAATATCTGTCTTTTAGACATTTTTGTAATGCTCATCTTATTTTATTTATTTATTTATTTTTGGTCTTTTTGTAGGTAGAATCAACCCCATTATTTCTACCCGCTTATTTGAATGTTCTTTGAATCGTTCTAGCGATCGCCTCTTTAAATCCTTCATATATCCAAATTTAATGTAACTTTCTTCCAAGTCCTTCAGTGAATCATCTCTAACTTTTCTTAATATCTTTGATATATTTTATGTTTTCTTGAGTCTGTATGCTTTGCCCCTTTAAAAAAATTAATGTGATTATTTTCTTGGAACCCCCCCCCTTTTCATTTGCAGATTCAGTTTCAGATTACTGTAATTGTTTCACCAAATAGCACTGAAGCTACTATCCAAAGTCTACTTGTTCTTCTTTGCATCCTTCTTTGCTTCAACTGATTCTGCACTGACATCTTTCTTGACATCTTTCTTGGCCTCTTTCTTTGTACCATCCTTTAATTCGATTTCTGTCCCAATGGGCTTCTTTTCATCTTTCTTTTCTTTTTTATTTCCCTCCTTCTTGACATCTTTCTTTGCATCTTTCTTGTCCTTTGAATCATTTTTCTCAGTCAATTTCTTTGCCTCTTTTTTCCCCTCCTTGTCCTTCTTCCCTTCTTTTTTTTCATCTTCAGAGTCCATACTTGAATCCTTCCCCTTCTTTAAAGGTTTCTTAACATTTTTGGCATCTTTCTTGTCATCATCTGATGTTTTAGCTAATTCTGTACCCGCCTTTGAAGCTCTCCGATCCTTTTTGGATTCCTTCTTCGCAGCTGCTTTTTCACCTTCTAAGTCTGCAGCTATTTGCGTGGCCGCCTTTGACACTCTCCGATCCTTTTTGGATTCTTTCTTTGCAGCCTCTTTTTCACCTTCTGAGTCTACAGCTAATTGCG